TGGATGCTTCATGCACCAGTCAATATTTTGCCCACAGAATCTTTCAATATTGCAACTTAAGGCTTGAACGTTTTTTCTCCAGTTTAAGACATGCTGATCATGTCCTTCCTTTTTCTTTTTCTTTTTTTTATTTTATAGATATCAAAGTTTATTAGTGATTACGAGAGTCAGCATACAGAACGTGGGGGAGGAGGGTGGAGGTGATGGAACAACTACAAGGATCATGGAATGTTAGCTTGCAAACAGATTCTTGTAATTGCTGTCAAGAAGGCTTAAACCCGTAAATAACTGAACAGGCAAAAGTTGTGAGATAGATATACAAGGGGGCTTCAAAAAGTTTGTGGGAAACTTCCATTATTTTCATATTTGTTTAGAGCCATCACTGGGGCTATTTCTTGCTGCTAGTTTCTTTGCTGGCCTGCTCTTCCACCTGCATGGCCGGGACCAGGACCTTCCTGAAAGCTTGCAGATCACTGGGAAACATGGCTACAGTGGGTTCTGCTTTGTTCTCCATTTTCTCCAGGTCGTAGTCTGGCTGCTTGGCCATCTCGAGAGAGCTTAAGTCAGGTTGGCCCTTGCTTTGGACAACAAGCAGGAGCAGCTCCCACACTCCCCCACACTAACGAATTATTAGATCCAGTTCAATTGCCAGGATGTCTTTTACTGCCTACTTTCTCTTTGAGCTGAAGAGGTTCAGAGTCTCGGGGAGGAGGCACCGCTGGGCGCACTCACTACAAACTGCTCAGGCTGCAGGCGCTTCTCTGGCACCGCGCTCCGTGTACAGCAAGTAGGAACCGCGCGCTATCGTGTCCTTCCTTTTTCATGTCTCCTCTAGTGAATGGATGTTTTACATGCTGGTGGAGCAGTGGTTACCCACTGGCTAGTGAACCACACGGTCAGCAGTGAGAATCCACCTGTGACTCCTTGGGAGAAAGCCGGGCTTCTGCTCCTGGAAACTGTTAGTCTTGGAAACTCACTGACACCAACTCTCGCCTGTTTCATTGGGCCACTGTGGGTCAGCGGCATCAACTGGATGCAGCGGGTTTGTTTTTTCAAATTATTTCCATGCAAATACACATTTTACAAGTACATATATTTACAAGTACAACTGGTTTAACCAAGTGGGATCACTTTACACAGTCTAATCTTAAGCATTTTTGGATTTGCTTTCCTGTAAGCAAGTCCCCTGGGGATGGAGCTGACCACCTGCCGAATGGCCCTTAGAACCAGGCCTGGAGAGCTACTTTCGGGAAGGGCACAACCGTGGGGACCCCTCCCCCCACCAGTGGAGTCCTATTCTGCACACTTCACATGGGGTTCCCATGGGTCAAATGCCTATGTGTAGTCGCTTGGCTCCCCCACCATGGTGCCCACCTTCATTAGAGGGGCTGTTTCCTGTGGGAGCCTTTTATACAGCCTGATTATGTAATCAATGTGCCCATCTATAACAGTCCCGTGCCTCCTGGAGTGACCATGTCCCCCTTACTGCCTTATCTTCCATCCCAGTGGCCCGCAGAGGCTAACTCCACTAGCTCATGTCAGGATTGTCTCCCATGAGAGGAAATCGCTGCAGCGTAAGAACAAGCAGTCAGGGACTAGAGCTGCCCAGTGCCCAGGTCTGTGGGAGGCCCTGGTCACTCACAGCTCCTGCTGGAATGAGGGCACCGGCTTGCCTCCCAGGCCGGCTGCTGGGCTCACTGTAGGAAGATTTGAGCATTAATCAGGCAGGCCTGCACTCCGGAGGGCAGTCCCTGGGGGGTTGGGGAGGGTGGTCCCTGGGGGGCTAGGCCCCTCACACCTCCACACTGGCATGTTTCACGATGAGCAGCCGAGAGGTGGACCCATGGCTGAGCCTCCTCGCTCTCTGCCACCCAAGGCCTGGCTGATGTCTCTTCCACGCTGTGGCAGCCACACAGGCCAGGAATCCATTGGAGACGTTTGGAGGCTGCGGCGCAGCGGGGTCAGCGGCAGCCGTTCCAGGGTGTCCTCCTGGGACCCCAGTGCTCCCTGAGGCTTGCCGGCCTGCCCAACTCCCCAGTGGCTTGCAGAGGTCCTTTGGATCCAAGGGAAAATGATTGCTCTTGCCGCTGGCCCCTGGTGGCGCTGTTGGGTAGGCATTGGACTACTAGGCTGAGGTTAGAGGTTCCAGCACCCTGCTGGAGAAAGATGAAGCTACAGTGCCCCTAAGATCGGCAGCCTCAGAAACCCTCCATAGGGCCACTGTGCAGGACCAGGGAGTGTTTCACTCTGTTGCCCAAAGAGTCAGATTGGATGGACGCAGAGGAGTCGAAGCGGACGCCACAAGCCAGTGCAGTTTTTGGTTACAGAGTCATTTTGACCCACAACAACCCCTATTCGACAGAGAACTGCCCAACGGGGTTTTCCAGACTCCAACAAAACACAGCACACCGACCTCACTGCCTTCAAGTCAATGCCGACTCACAGCGACCCCATAGCACAGGGTAGAACTTCCCGTGAGTTTCCCAGACTGACGCCTGAGGGCGGAGAAAGCCTCGTCCTTCTCCCACAGAACGCTTGGTGGTTTTGTATGGCTCCACCAAGGCTCCCTGGACTGTAGTCTGTACAAAAAAGATGTCCAGGCCTTGTTCCGCTGATGGGCTGGAGGGGCGGGACCTCTCATATGCCCTGTAACCTCTGAGTGCCCCCGCACTGTACTGCTTCACTCCTAAAACCCTAAGCCCAAAGCACTTGGAGGGGTGGTGGTGGTGGTGCACAAGACTCCACTCACTGGAGGGGCTTTCTTCTAGGTTCTCAATGGAGAGGGGGCAGGTTCTGATTACTGAAGTGTTATCTGTCCCACCTGGAATTCACATTAGAGGGAAAAGAGGATAAGAGCCGGCCCTTGTGCTTCATCACTAACAAGCTGGTGTTGGTACTGTCGCGGCCTGGGCCTTGGCTCCGACTCACTGACCACAGAGGACACAGGGCTGGTCGAGCCCAGGCATGCTCCAATCACATGGCAGGCCCAGTGTCTCGCAGCTGACACTATCGTGATTCAGGGGGCTCTCACTGGCTAACTTTCAGAACAGATTGCCAGGCCTTTCTCCCTGGTCTCCCTTAGTCTGATGCTCCACGGGTGAGCCGTCCGTGCCTATGCAATACAGGTGGCACCACTTCCATCTCCACAGTAGCACACAGGCCATTACAGGACGACAGCTGTACATATGAGTCCACCTTAAAACAATTCAAAAACACATCCAAAAATGGAGCCTCAGGTTCAAGGACAAAGTGTGCACCATGTCCCCATGTTTCTGCATTGGTGGTGGCTTGAGTGGGTGCTGAGCCAGACTGCAGGATGCCCAGCCTGGCACCGCCCTTTGGTAGTTAGGGGCTGTCCTGCAACCTCAGTGGTCACACCTCCACCCTCTGCAAAATCAGGATGTGGGGCGGGCCGGGTGTTGAAGAGCTCAACGTGGTGCCTGGTACCCAGGGGGTACATAGCCCCACTGTGGCACCTAATGTCCAGTGCCAACGACAGTGCCCATGAGCACTGCACCCTGCTTCCTCCTCTGACTCCTAGCGGTTCTTCTAGCCTGGCTCAGATCATAATGTGTCAGGTGGCTCATTGGTTTGATGGCCACTGCACCTGGTCCTGCCTTGCCCCACCCTCTCCCAGTAGCCTGCCAAAGCTGGCCTCAATAGACCCCTGTCTCTGCCCGGCCCCCAGAGCCAGTCTGCTCCCATAGGGCACTGAACAGTCAGTCCTTCATCTCCTAGGTGTGAGGACCGGGGCAGCTGTGCCTGGTGAGCACTGCAGTGTAGACAACCAACACCCAGTCAGCTGGTCAAGGGCAGAGCGCTCCTCAGAACAAGTGGGAAGCACACATCTTGTTCTCTGGGAAGTGTGGCAGTCTCTCGGCAGTGCAGCTGTTTGCAGTCAGAGACACAGGAGTTACAGCTGGAAGCGAGGAGAAGGCTGCTGGGGGCCTGTAAGGAGACAGCCAACAGGCCGGGGAGGCCAGGAGGAGGGGCGGTCCAAGTGGGGGCTGGGGGCTTTCAACACCATCTAGTGAGGCTGGGTGGATACAAAACAAGGAAGGCTTCAGGAAACTTCTGCTCAGACTAGACCAGCCTCCAGGGATGGGTCGCTCCCTGGACCAAACCACCTTCCTCTCCTCCCCTGCCACCCCCTCGCCCCCCCTTCCTCCCAGCTCAGCTGGGCGGCCCAGGCTCATGGGAGCCGGCAGGTCCCGGGAGGATCTCTGCCCGCAGACGCTTGCTGTGGATCATCCAAGGGGTTGCAAGACGTCAGCTGGACAAGAGGACGCTCAGATATAAAGATTTGCGGAGAGGAGGGGGGAGGGGAGGGAGACGACGCTGGTGGGACGAGGAAGAGCTGCAGGGCACGAGGAGGGACACGACGCCCTGAGGGCTACGGTGAGGGCGGCAGGGGTCCGCAGGACACTCGAGAGTGGCACGAGCCCAAGGTTCTCAAGGGAGCCGAGGTCTGCGAGCGAGCAGGGTGGGAGGGTGGGGTGCAGACGCCGGCCCAGGAGTACTGCGGGGAGAGGCGCGGAGGGCGCGCAGGG